ATCCTACAAAAAAACAGATGGTTATTGAATAAGTGTGCTAAGAATGCTTCTGGATAAAGTTACTATAATTAAGGACTTTCACACACGATCCCTCAAACAAAATCTGCTTTGGTAGAAGTCAATGATATGATGCATGTTAATTCTCTAGTGTTAATATTAATACAATCTTGTGCATGCTTTTCCTGCAGTGTGTTTTGACAAAAACATGCAGTGGGGCAGCCCTCAGCAAGCAAAGCAAGCTGAGCTGGTCCTGGAATAGGTGGATCTTAAGAGTTAGTGAAATACTAACATCAACAGATCTGTGGTATCCTGAATAATATGATCAGTTCCACTGCCCTCCTAGAGCCAGGGCCCAGATAAGCTGCCCACATTTATACTGATTTGTGGAGATACAAGAAGAAATGCTTTGTTTTGCTGCCAGATGGCTTCCATCTGCCTTTTGGTAGAAGCAAGGCAGACTACAACTGCTGGGGCGTGCTGGGGCCTTGTCTTGACTTGCATCAAAATACATCTGGACATGCACACAGCCTGGAAATCTAAAGACTATTCCAAGGTTCTAGAGTCTGGGTGTAGCCTAATTTAACCAGCAAGTAAAGAATAGGTTCAAAAAGGTGTTCAGAAACGTAAATTTCTATTCACGTTCTTTTAAGAACTGTAATTAAATATCTGTTTGTCTCCACGTCCCTTCCTACAGGTTACAGAACGCTGCTGTGGCATCTTTACCACATGCAACTCCTACAAAGAAAGCTGCTGCCTTTCATAGCAGCTGCAGTTCCCAAAATTATTTGAATTGTCTCTCTGCTTGTCTCTCTGAAAAGACTGTGTTACTAGTCTTTTCTGTGTAATTTCAGATCAAATATGCATTTTGTGTGCCGTTTAAATATATTACATTAAAAAAAAACCCGCAAAAAAATGCACACAATATGAAATTCCAGATTTAATCTGTTCAAAAGCCTTCATAATTTACCTTCACTAGGTGTATACTCAGTGATACATTTCTTAATTATATGATGCAAATGATTATTTTCTCCCTGCAACCCAGCCTTTTAAACCAAGCCTCCCCCTAAAGGACTTTGCCATTGTTGCATGTGGTCCACCTAACAAGCACCTTCCTCCCAACAACGTGTTCCTGAACCCATTAGGACTAATTACAGTTAAAAGCAACCAGCAAAACATGCCTGCTGGCAAAGACCACAGCTCCAGGACTGGATTTCACAGCCCTAGAAGAAGTGAGCTCTAACTGACAGGCTCCACTAAGGAGGATCACAGCTGCAAAATACCTAAATCAAGGTCAAAATTCAGCCCCTCTCTCTTCAAAGCCAGCCCGTGTGTGTGCTCCCACACCTTCCCTCTCCTGAAACAGTCAATCCTCTTTGCAATTACACTTTACACTTTGTAAAAAAGTGTATTCTAATAGTTGGAAAACGTCAGACTTTTTACGTTTTTAAACCCTTCAACCCTGCCATCCAGGTCTTCAAAATAGCCAAAGGGACAATGAATTAGTTCTTTTTCAACAGTGAAGAAATAGACAACTTTGGACACATGTGAGTAATTACATATTTTGAAGGATAAAAGACCAAACCCAAAAACATGCCTTTTAAAAATACCTAGTAATTGTTCTTCCATCTGAAAGAAAAACTAGTATATTGCTAAATGAACAAGAAGCTTAGTTGTGGGTGAATCTTGGAGAGCAAAACTTTTATGTGATACTTGAATCGTGTAATTTCTGTGAATTGAGAATACTCCAGCCTACTCTGCTTCTATCACAAACATACCCCTGGTTTTGGTCATTTATACTTCTTAAAGAGGAGAAGAAAAGAAAAAAAGGCTTTTATTCTAAGAAACTGTACTGCAATTATTTTTATTATTTTATTATTTACTCCATTTATAGGCCATTAGTCTGTCATTAGCAATTGGTGAAAAATTTTCCTATGCATAAACAAAGCAAGCCTAATGGCAATTAGTGCTGTCTTTAGAAAGCTATTAAATTTTTTTTCTCTATTCCTGCCAAAGCATGACCTCTTTCTTATGATACAATTATCATAATTTTGAATATTATCGTTACAGTCAACTCATGTAAGCATGCAACTTTATCAACAAAAATTACATCAAGGCATTGAAATACATAAAATTCAACCTCAGACCACAGAATTCTAGAATACTTCAGGTTGGATGCCACCTCAGCAGGTCCTCCAGCTCAGCCTCCTGCTGAAAGCAGGTTCCACACTGAATTCAGACTTGCTTGCCCATGGCTTTCTTGATCTGGGATTTAAAAGTTTGCAAGAACAGAGTCCTCAACCTCTCTGGGTAGCCCTTTCCAAGGGTGACATTTTTCCCCTTTATGTTAAGCTGGAAGCCTGCACCCAGTATTGGCTTTTGGAGTCTAACCCTGCTGAGCTTCAAGGTTAGACAAGCTCAAGTGTGTTCAGGGACACGTGACAACATGACATGATGTGAAACAACTCATAAATTTGGGTGTCATCCTTGCACAGGGCTGTGCTAATCCCTATACTCTTCCAAGTTCAGAATATGCATGCTAAAATGAGCCACAACCAACACAATTGGCAATTTCTCTGCTCCATACCCTCCAATCATGGGCTAACAGGTGATGTGCTTTATTTAGTCTGTGACAAATACAGGGAATAAAATTACCATTACACTCTAAAACACTGAATATATAGGTTAATTCTATGATACAATAGGCTAGACAGGCTAGAAATAAAAACATACTTTCTACATTGCAGTGATTGTTACAGTCATTGTAAAAAAAAAAAAAAAAAGTCAGGAGATGTAGGACCTTGGGCTTAAAGGTGGTGTTTAAATGTAAATACTGCTGTCTGAGACCAATAGCATCAGAGAGAGAGCTTCAGTAAATGTAGTTCAAACTCAGCCACTGAAACCCTATTGTTAACAAATGTTTCCAACACTTTTTTCAGATACTCCCAGGTACTCATTGCATAGGATTGACAAAGCTTTTCAGAGTTCAACTATTAAACCAGGCAGACATAGGATCTGAAGCTTCTCCACCCCACTTCTTTTTGGAAATGCTCACTCAGACAGTGTTACTGTTCTGATAACAGAGGGAAAACACTTCTTGTTATGATTTGCCTACAGAGCTCTGCTTCACTCTCAGCAGTTTGAAACCCAGTACATCACAAAATAGCTATCAATGGTCTGGTGGTTTTGGTTTGGTTTGGTTTGGGTTTTATTGTTATTTTTCTGTTTTTCTTATGTATTAAATGAAAATGTTTAAAGAGTTTTGGTAAGGTCCCTGTCTAGAAATTTCCTCTGTGTGGCAGGAGATGGCTGGCTATTACATTTCAAAGGCACCACATGTAGCATGCAATGAACCTTTTCTGATAGATTCAGAGCTCATATGTAACAACCATTTGTGGTTGATGTAGCCATTAATAAATATTTCTAGGAGTCTGCATTCCTACATACCATCCTCTTACCTGGCACAGGAGTGGGAAGACACCTAAGGGAGCTGTGAGTCTTAGGAGGCAAAGGGATTAATTCCAAGAAATTAATTTTATAGAGGGGGTCTAAACATCATTTGTAAGCAGTGATCAGGAGATGCTTCTGTCAAGAGTTACATGAACCAGAAATCAAGCTCTGCAGGTGTCCTGAGTTACCTGAAGGAATCCTTCCTTTTCTACACTGACAACAGAGCAGCACTCAAATAGATGAATCTCCTTCCTAAAATAAAAGCCCTTCAAAATTATGAAACCACATCCCCAGCTTTTGGTTGTTTACAGGGTAGTTAAAATATTAGGGTTGTTTTAGGCTGGTATACATGGAAAGCATGATTTAATGAACAGCCCCGCTGATAGTGTTGGTTTTGCTCTGCAAATTTTTGTTCATTAATACAACCTTCCAATTAGTCATGTGAAAAATGAACACAATCAGGAAAACACTGAAAAATAGAGGATGAGTGTTCAACAGTGGCACAAATTAAAAAAATTAGGGATAAATTTGCACCCCATTAGGGAAATTTCAATGCATGTGTAATCTTAAGAGCTCAATATATTTCTTCCATAGCATTAATTTAACAGTATTTTAATAGTTCAAAGCAGCATCTACACCAGGTTTCTCTAATTATCACACGGAAGCAGCTTAAAGCAAATAATTGCTTTAAATTTCCTGGTACCATCAATAAACAGTAACTTCATCAGTGTTTTAACACAGTTGAAGGGCTGTAAAGAATAGACTGCTTCTTCTCTTGGAAGGCAAATTTTTACACTGGATTATTTTCAGAGGTTATTTTTAGTTTGGCTGGATAGCTAGCAGAGTTTTGGTGCTTGTAAGATTTATATAAATCATGGAAGAAGGTGGCTTAACGATGCAGATGGCACAGGGCCCTGGAATGCACACGCTGCCTGCCTTAAAAAAAAAACCAACATGAAATGCGTTCCTCTCACCATGGCATCCCCAGGAAACCTAAAAGGGGAAAATATCTTTGTTTCATTTGAAATCCAGCCTAGGAATTCAAACTGCTAAATACAGATTGCTAGTCTGTGCCTTTTAAGAGGTACCACCCTGAAGCCCACGTTAAGCAGCTGTGTGCATCTGGAGGTGCAGGGGTTGCCAGGGGAGTGACTGGAGTTTAGCACTGAGGACAACAGTGGACTTCCTTAAAACCAAGCTGTCTACCCCGTTAAGGCTCAAGAGAAGGCACAATCAAGCTCTTTATTTAGCTGCAGGTGATGATGGTGACTGCTTCAGATCTTATAATAAAGGCAGACAGGTTTCAGTTGACCATTAAAGTGGCTGTGTACGTTTTCCATTGTAAAAGAGGAAGAAAAAACCACCAGTTAAGAGCAAAGTTTTTTGGGTGAAAAGCTCTCAGGAATCACGCAGATGAAGCTTTCCAGAATGCTTCTGTTGTGGTCTGGAAAACAAAAAATTGCCCGCAGACCAAAATTATACACAAAATTGTACCAGAAACGCATTCCATTTTTATAGATTTCTCTTCTGTAAAAACAAGAATGAAAGCCACAAACTTGCCTGGTAGGTCACATTGCATAGAATATGAATGCCAAATTTTTAAATACTGGAGAGAAATCTTACACCTCCAGCTGCAGGACAGTCACTTCAGAAATGGGGATGGACCTTGAGAACTAAACCTTCAAGACTTCAGGTGGAAATAGGACTTATTTGACCAACAGTAAATGACTCCATCAGAGCTACTTAATTAAATAATTTCAAAGTCAATGGAAAAAAAAAAAGATGAGTGTGCTAAACTTGATGCATCTCACCAAAATAGGTGACTGACTCTAAGAGGAGGTAGGATGCCTGTGACCAGTCTCCAGCTGGGTGAGAAGGGTTGTTGGAAGTCGATTGTATCAGCAGTAAATTGCCAGGTTGTACTGAAACACTGGAGCCTCCAAGATGCCTTCAGAGAGAGAAGGAGATGAACTGCCTGTTAGAGGCAACTCCATGGACTGCAGAAAGTTAGAGCAGTAGCTTAGACTAGATGTGTATTAAATGGATGAAATAACCCACTCACCCCCAGCTGTTTTTAACAGGATGCCACTAACAGTAACACTGAGAATGGAGACACCAGTTACAGACACTCTCCACAAATGATCATGTGGTACCCAGGCTGAAACCTCAGCCCCTTTTCTGACTGAATCATGAGAGCTCACAATACAGAGTAACCTATACACAGAGAAACATTCATATCATATGCAAGACTGATGGTATGGGCTCCCTCAGTTTGGCTGCCCTCTTGAAAACATCTAGAACAGAAGTGGTATTTACAAAATACTGAATCGCTGTTGTCTGAACATCAGGCTGGTATGAGACACGTCAGATTCCACATCCCTTAATTAAATCACTCAAAAGATGAATAGTGATTCAATTAACAGTAATTTTAGACAAGAGTTGGTGTTTTCGAAGCAACAGAAAACTCAGAAAGTGTGTGCTTGGGAATTCTTCATCATTATCATGAGCCCTTAAAGACTTCCCAAACAGACATCAAAAATTTTGAAACACAACTATCTTCTAACATTTTTAACCAAAACTTTTAGGTAAGCAATCGATGAACTTCTATATAAGTAGTAATACTTAAAACCATTTATACTATATTCATCAGTGTTACTGCTTTGTGCACAACACTTTCAAATATGTTGGTGTGTCCTTGTTTTGCTTCAAGGACAGCAATGAGCTGTCGTTTTGACGTTTCAGCCTGAAACAGAACAGAAAAGTCTTAATCTTTCACTCTTTGCTGCAAGGACTTCAGATTAACTCTGTCCCTAACCAGATGTAAATAGAATCTGTAAATAGAAATCATCTTGACTATGGAAAAAGTACTGGTATTTTTGTTTAGAATGTCACAGTTTAGAATAAATTTAACCCACACCAGCCAAAGTGTTTTAAAATTCTTATAACTAAGCTATTTCACTTGAAGTATTCTTTCTCAGTGCTCATTTGCACTGCAACTGTATGTATGAAGTGGCTGAACTGCAATCATTTGTGACATTAGAGAAAACATGCTGTTTCATTCCTGAGGCAGAACACCCAAGTAACAAACAAAAAACCCACAATGTACCATTGTACAGGATGTTCTTTAATCATGCAGGGACATTGCAGCTATACTCATTGCTCTAAATTATGAGTTTTCTGTAGGATTTTTTTTCTAGATAAAGCCAAAAGAAAAAATAAATTAAACTAATTTTAAGTATTAGCTGTAAGTACTTAAAAATGAATCGTTTGTTCTTTTAGTCTTTTGTCTGACTAGCACCCAAAACATTTAATGAATTTTTAAATAGACATTATTATTATGGATGATATCATGCTAATTAAGGGTATAGTACAGGCATTAGAGAATAGTGTTCCTTATGGAGGACTTTTAATTGTATTCCTGCTATCCTACTATCAGTGGATACTGAAATAATGAACAGTTTAAATAAACTAGCTACTGTTTAGTTAGTTAATCTCTATTAAAATGTTACACTGTTTTCCATGGGATTTGTGTTTATATGAAGATGGGAACCCTGGTTAAAGAACTAGAGACTTAATTTTTCTGCTGTTTTAATTACTGCTTCTTATTGAATCCTTCAAGCTTTGTCATCAGTTGAACAGGGAATCCATAGGAATTTGACATGTGCTTAAAAGATTTCTGAACTTGTGGTATTACTAATTGCTTTTTAAAATTAATCCTTATAGAGTTTTCTCCACCTCCCAGGGTAATATGCTGAGAAATTTGGTTTTGTAACATCTATTTGCTAACATTTCCTTCTTTTTCTTTGGAGGGTACCTCTGACTGCCTCTCTATTCTGTCCTAATGAATTTTTATACTGGTTTATTAATGACTCATCTACAAATGGTGCCTAAAAGTCTTTCTCGATCCCCGAAACTTTTACTGCACATACAGCCCCAGAAACCAGCTCACAGAAACTTTGACAAGCAATATTATAACAGTAATTATTATACAAAAGCTAGATTGGTTAGCAATAATGATTTCCAGACGAGGATGGATTTTTCACTAGTGCCATCTCCTCATGTCCTGTAGTCACAGAGCAGAACAGAAATGCTCAGCATCTGTTACCAACTCCAACTATTTCCTATAATGCTGGAAGAGCTCATTTCCTTCACCAGCTGTGCCCTGAACAGAGAAGGGTCCGAGGTTGCTTGAGTCTCTTCATTGCTTTATGCATAATGAATTCAGGGATAGTTCCAAAAAAGTATTTAGATGATGCTAAAATGTCAAGTATTTAAGTAGGTGGTGGGGTTTTTTCCACTCCACAACTGGTCCCCAAATATTGTGGAGAAAAGTGGCAATGTAAATTCCAGAGAATCATTCTCTAAAACAGCACCAAAGAGAAGGAATACACAGGTGCACTTCATGGTAAAGTTACATAGTCTAAGCACACATGATGGATGATGAGATGAATGAGAGAAGGAATGATTCAGTCCCCAACAGCCCTGGGTAGGTGAATCAGGTTTGAGTTAGCAAGACTGATGGACAGCAGATCATTCAACCCTTGACTGAAAAACGGACTTACTATTTTTCCTTCAAGATGTTTACAAGATGCCATGAATTGTGCAGAGACCATTCCAGTTGCAGAGTGTTTGGATACACAAAGCTTGGTTCCCTAGCACAGCACAGTCCTGGAATACAACTGATGGATTTGGATAGAGGAAGAAGGACAAAAATTGTAAAAATATTACTTAGCATGATAGGCAGTGGTCACAACACATCTGTGGACAAACATTTATCAAGTTGATGTTAGGGATTTTAAGGGCTATATTTGAATGTGGATAATGAATTATCTCTATGTGAGCCTCTCCCACAAGCACAGCAGACAAGACAGAAGAAAGCACAAAAGCATGTTTCTGGAGAATTTATAAACATTATTGGATTTTATAAACAAAATTCCTGTCTCTTACACACAGTGAGAAAACAAGAAAAGGCTAAAAGTCTGTTTCTCTTAAAACAAACAAACAAACAAACAAATCTCATTTTCTGTTAATGCTGTGGTCTGGCTAACATAAAAAGAAGCATTTCAGTTCTAGATAGCTTAGACAGAAGAGTCGAGAAAATTATTTGCATGGTGACAATTTCTTCCCTTTTCTCCCTTTTATCTTTACCCTACCTTTAGCCAGTGCTTTGTATATGATGCCAAGCTGAATTTTGTCTTTTGCTGAAGAGTTCTGATTCCATCCCTCTCCAAACTCACAAGACCACACCATCCATAAATACCACACTATTTAAAGTCAGGATGCTATCATTTTGTCACACCAAAGTTTTCATAGATGTAACTAAACATTCTTTATGGCAGAAACTGCTGCATTTGTCTTTGCCTTAGCCACAGGACTGCAGAGTGAGCCCTTTCATTGATGTCTATGGATGTTCTCTGGCAGCATTGTGCATCCCCATCCTGCTACCTGGCCATGCCCAGTATTCACACAGCACCTTGCTGTACGTGTTATCAGGCCCTTTTAGGAAGGACATGTCTATTGTGCCAAGGTCACATTCCCACAAAGCAGCCTCTTGTCATACACTGTCAGACAGGCAGACACACTCTATGCAAAGGAACAGCCCACACTCAAGATTTACCTTGCCGTGTATCCCTGAGCTTGTTTAAACCCTGCCCCTGAGAATGGATTTGCATCTGAATTACTCGGGTGGGAAGCAAGTCAGGATTTGATCAGGCATGGATAAAGATTCCTACTTAAAATCCAACGTATGGCTCTCCTCGATACAAGAGAGAGAACTATACAGAACTATTTTATAAAACATGAAATGGCCTCAGTAAAAGAAATGGGGTGTGTGGTTGCCAAGACATTCTCCTATGAAAGGGAGTTATAGAACCTGTGAAGGATGTCACACAGCCCATTGGCTTTGAGTTGGAAACAGAAAAAAGGATTCAGGAGAGTGAGAGTGAGAAGCAGTAGGAGGAAGAGCGCTTCGAATTCCATTCTAGACCGTGTCCCACAGAAATCCCGGAGGACGTTGTGGGTGTTCCAGAGAAGAAAGAAATGTCAAATCCACAGCTTGGCTTCAGAATGGAAGATGGAAGAGGGGCCTCCCACCTTTCCAGGCATGCTATGACAACTGGCACCACAGTATGCCAAAAGCAGATGTTCCTCAGTCTCACCTCTTTGAACAGGCCTGTGTCTCCTCCATCCTATGTCTAAATATCCTCCAAAGTCCCAGCAGTCATTCAGAGTCTTGAAGATATTAATGATGGCAGCAATTTCCCCTTCCCATTCTCCTGATTAAACAGAAGGAAGGAGGCAGAAAAAAGATGAGAGACGTAAAACTCCAGATGTTGTCGACACCAATATCTGGTTCCACCAGAGAATTTGAACACTGAGGCGATGATGAATTGCAGTGGGATCCCTACGGCAACCCAGATTGCAATCATAATACCACGGAGGAAGGATAAGGGCTAGCATTCATTACTGTGAACAGTAAATGAATTTATGACAATTTCTACTGGTCCTTTCAAAGAACGTGAACACATCTGTAAGAAATTAAGATGACACAGCGCTGTAACTCATTCATTAATAAAGTCTGGTATTGCACATTTGTTGCAAAATTTGTCGCAACTGTTACCAGCGGTTTTTAATTCTCTAAGCGGATGTTATTAAAACCATAACACAAATCTCTCTGGTGGGAGGGTACTAACTAATTTGCAGACTATTCTTTAGGTGATTTATTTTTAGTCCGGTCTTACTTTGGTGAAGAAACTGAACTTCTTCAGGTTTAAAGCAAGTAGATACTTAATCATTAAAAATATGTACAACAGAGTTACAGCCAACCTGCTTTCTTTTTGATAATACATCAATTAATTTTACACTATCAAAAACCTCTTAAAGGACCTCTCTGTGATCTGAGTAACTGTGGAGGGAGAAATAATACCAGAAAAGCAAACCCTAAACAAAGAGCAAACCCAATAATAACATACCAGGCTGTGATGGAGTCAGAGCAGTCACAGCTGTATTCCTGTGAGTGTGGAGTCACAGTTTGCCCATTTTTAAGGACAGATTGTCAGGATACAACCTAGTCAATGATGAGAAGAATCAAAAATTAGCAAAATTTATGCATTTTACCCTGTGCAACAGGAAGAGTATCTATTGGCCACGTGTTATAAAGCATAAGCTAATGCCTTGCTACTCCACTTGGCAATAGTTCCTACTGAGCTGTGTGTCTCAGCTTTGCAATGTATCACTGTCAAATATACCTGACAAAAGTCTTGCTACTGCAACAAGCCCACACATCTCTGCACAAACGTGCCAAACACCTACTGAGACAGAAGGTCTGCATTAGGGCATAGCATAGAGGCATTTTCATGCATGAGATCCACAAGATGCTGTGATGAGCATCCCCTGTGTATCTCCTGTGCCCTTCGGAATGTTGGAGCCTGGATTCTGCCAGCAGCTATGCAGAGCACCTTCGAGTGGTACTAATGGGGAAGCTGTAGCTGCCTTGGCCACTCCATTAAGCCTGTCCATGGGAGGCTAAACACAAACAAATATTTGCAGGATTGTGGTCTTATTTACTCCATTAGACGTGAAAAATTATTAAGAATAAAGCCTGCATCTTAGAAACACATATTTGATTTTTCTTCTATATATTGAGGGAAAAGTTGAAAGGAAAAGAAGTTATAAATCCTTGGCTTACGCTTAACAAAAGTCATCACAATAAACTCAGTGTTTTATAAGCTACAGGAAAAAATATGAGAAAATGCAATATTAATTTGAAAGAGCAATACTTCATATTGACTATAAATCAAACTAACAGAAAAGGTCATTCATAATTTAATGACAAAGTTGCAATTTTTTTAACATAACTGAACAGATTTATGTACATTACTGAAAGCCAACACAAAAACATTCAGAAGATATTCTGTGAAAATTAAGAAAACAATCTGAATTGTTTTGAGGTGCAGGCCCACATTACAGAACTTGCAGCCACAGTTTCCATGTTCTCAGCATGGCTGGACCCAGCTCTTTGGTGGTGACTCAACTGCAGTGCCTGTGCTCCCCAAGGGAGAGGAGGTCGCCTGCTCTGCCTTATTGCAAGGCTCAGTGCTGCCCCTAGGAGTCCAAAAGCCACAGATAAACTCACTGACGACTGTGAGTAGAAACACTTCACTGCTTTGATAGGTGTAGAAAAGGAGCCTACAAAAAAGAGTGAGTTACCCTTAGCTCCATCTCAGCCAATAATTCCCACAAGCCAGCTATCCTCCTGTGCTGGGACTGCTCTTTTTCCTGGTAAAACAAGAATATATTTTTAAATATACCAAAGTGCTATTTTCAAAAATGAATTAAGCTGTGAAACACTATGACTCATCAAAGATGCAAGGGGAAAGAGGGAGAAATCCAGGGCACGTGGCTCTGGTGGGTGGAAAGGGGTTTCTCCTGACTTCTGATGGATCAGGCTGAATTTAGACTGACAGCACACAGACTATCTGGGATCAGACCCCACGTACATTCAGCTTTGCTTCCTTTCTCCCTAATTTTCATAAAATGGAAGGGCAGAAAATGAACCTGCCCCATCATTCAGGCAGTCAGTGGAGTTATGGTCTTCACTCAATGATCTCATTACCCATTCCAAGATAATAACCATAAGCATTTTTTTGATCAGCAGAAGTGGCAGTGCCACTGAGAAAATACACCATGTCAGACACAAGTACCAAAACAATATTGCTTATGACAAAGCAAGGTGGCCCTTGGTCTATAGGACTAAAGCCTAAGGCTTTCAAAACCCATTTTGGGTAGGAAAAACTCCACTCAAACTCATCAATATTATGTATGAGAAACACAGGGAGTACACAGAAAACAAGCAGCAATTGAAGCAGTCCTGGACCAGCCTTGGGCCTGAACCATCCGAAACCTTTGCTTGTGTCCATGTTTAGTGTTTACTAAATTCTTATGCCTTGGCACCAATAAGAGACTTCAGCACAAGCTGACTGCACAGCCACTAGGATTTTTAATGACCAATAAATTATCTGCTGCTTTGGAAAAGCCAGTTATCATATTTAATTTGACAGCCCCATACGGTGTGAATTCCACAGACACAAAACAAATGTCAGGCCTCGAGACTAGTGCACATTTCCCCAGATGCAAAATAGACACTCACCAGTTCCTCTCTTAGGAGGATGGAAAAAGCTAATCCCTCTAAATTATGCAAACCAAACAGTGAGTGAAGGCTTAAAGATCCAGCGTTTACTTTTAACAAGTAAAGCATTAACCACACTACTGCTTTTCACATCTGCCTTTTATGTTTTTTTTTATTTATTTATTTATTTATTTATTTATTTATATTTTTTTTTATTTTCAGTGATATGCAGTGAAACTATTTTAAGATCTGCTCCTGAGTGCCTGCAGCTGGCACATCTTGGAGGGAATAGTAGGTGCTCATTTCTCCTCAGATCTGTCACCCTGCCTCCTAAACGTTTATCATGCTCCTGTAGAGACACTTGGACCATGGAAGATCTTCTCAAATCCAACCCCTATTTAATTTTGCATCAAGGAACACAGTGAGTGGAGAGCTTTTTCTTTTACTCGCTTTGTATCTCATTCAGATCTGGGCTGGAACAGAAACAGAGGAGGAACATCCACTGAACTCTAAGTGCTTTCCAGCTCTGGTTCACATCTGTTACTAATGTATCTTTATGTTACTGGATAGTTTAATAAACATGGAAGTAAGAGCTGTCTGATAAATTTGGTCCTGTAATTTCAGAAGTTGGTCCCTGGCTGTGACAGGAACCTCTTGGAGAGGCTGATGTATTTACCCCATTCATTTTCCACATTTGCAAATTGAAGTAACGGCACTTTCCTTTGCCATAAGCCACGTGAGAAAGTCGGAAGAGCTCCGCGTGAAAAGTTGGTGCTACTGGAAAGCGGTCTAACGGGACAGCAGCCCTACTGTCACTTTGCTGTCATGTGTGTCAGGACAGGGAGACACTCCGGCTCTGCGCAGGGTTGCACAGACTGGTGCTGGCGAGCAGCACTGAGGGAGGGAGAGGGAGGCAAGGAGAATACTTGAGACGCTAAAATAACCCGCGGAGCAGACTCGGCGCTAGCAAGCGCTTCGCTCAGAACTCGTGCAAGCGAACAACAGCCGCTCCCCCACGTAATTTAAACGCTGCGGTACCGCCGAGCGCTCCCAACTACACGGCTGCGTCCTCTCCTCCGAAAAGCACCGGCATCGGCACCGACACCGGCACCAGCGCCGCTCCCGGCGGCCCGCAGGGGGCGCGGCGGCCCCGCTCGGCGGCCGCGGGCGCTGCGGGAGCCCCGCCGGGCGGGCGGAGGGGCGGGCGGACCCTGTGCCGTGTGCGGCCGCGCCGCTGCGCCGGGGGAGCGCCCGGGGCCGGGGCCGGGGCCGGGGCTGGGGCCGGGCCGTGCCTCCCTCGCCGAGCGTCGCGCCGGGGGCACCGCCGAGCGCGGCCCCTCCGCGCTGCCGGCAGCGCGCAAAGAGGTGAGAGCCGGGCGGGGCTGTGCGCGCCCGCGGGGGGTTTTCCGCGGGTGCGGAAGGGAGAAGGGAGAAGCCGGGAGGTGGTGGTGGGGGGGGAGTGAGGAGGATACCGTGCAGCGGGAAGATGCGGCGCCGGGGGGGCGCGGTGCCCGCAGGGGTGGCGGAGCCGGGCGTGCCGGGCAGAGCCGGTGTCCGCAGCCGCGGGAGCCGCCCTGCGCCGGGCGGGCGGCACCTGCCGGGACCACCCGGAGTTACGGGGCAGGCGGTGATGAGTCGATATCTGCACAGAAATGTAAAACAGACCTGCGGGGCAGCAGCTCGTGCCGGAGGCGACGGTGCGGGGTTAGGGACCGGCGGGCGACCGGCGGAGGCAAACACCGGTGTTCTTCTCTCTCTGTCCCCTCCGCCCATCCCGCTGCGTCCTGAAACAGTTCGTGCTTCTAACTGTCCATGCAGAGTGAGAGTGATCTGATACTTAGGCTTAGGCAAAAGGAATCAGGAGTGCTACGACGTCAGACATGAATCGGGACCCTTCTCGATGTAAAGTGTCTTTACTCTTTCTTTTTGCAAGCTTTTTTTTTTTTTTTTTTTTTTTTGAATAGGAAAAAGCCTCAGGCTTTTATTTCAAGAAACGTGTTTGAAATGCATTTTGCTCTAGAGCAGATAATGCTGACATAGTGAGCTTCCTACGTCACTGTTACAATTTGTGGCTAGAGTGGGTACTTCAGCACAACAGCAAACCTTCATAACACGTTGCATTCACAGGTAAAGTTCTACCCTGTTTTAAAAGTAGAGTGAATTTTTGATGTTTAAGTCAGGGCTGAGGATCATCATCATCATCTGAGTTGCCATTTTTTCCCTCAAGATCTTAAAACATTCTACAGTGACAGGTATGGTTATATATTTTACTGTCCAGATTGGAAAAATCAAATCAAAGAGATGAAGGGTCAGGTGACTTGCTCAAGGTAATGCAGTGAAACTGTGAATATAGATAATTCCCATACAGCCTGTTAAAGGTACATTGCCAGCAATTCTGGCATTCTTTTGCTAACCCCATGCTTTGCTGAACGTTTATGTGTGAGCACTAGTGAACTTCCTGGGTACAGATTTGCTTAGTACAATGGGCAAGGTAAAAGTGCTTAGAGGTTTTTAAGCAACTGCAGCTGAGTAATTGAAACCTTTTTGGAACTGGAGGGCTCAGGGAAAGATTAGCTATCTGCAGGCGCTACTAGTGAGTGCTCACAGCTATTAAATAACATTCTACAAAAAGTAATTCATTGCAGTTGAGTCAAATACAGTAAATATATGCAATTGCAACTGAAAGAGAAAGAAAGAATAAAATAAGGAGCCTTGTAAGGCAGGCACTCTGCCTTGTTGAGTACCTTTTGCAATATTACAGTGCCAGCATGAAGCAAACAGCAGTAGCCAGAAAGCTGAAGGTAGGTTTTGCACAAACAGTGCCAAATATGTCAGTGGTGTTACTGCAATGTTTAAAGCAGGAATGGAGCATCGATTATCGTGACTATTTAAAAAAAGCAAAAAGGGAAGGGGGCGGGGGAAAGGGAGAGCCTGGCTCCTTGCAGTTCCATCCTTGTGGTATTCTTCCCCAGGCTCTGCATTGACGTCACAATGACACAGTGAAGCCAAACACAGGAGCTGGGAACAGTTCTTCTGCTTCACTTTTGATAATTGAGTGAGTTTGCCACCACCCCATTCCTTCCAGCATGGCTAAGAGTGCAGAAGTGAAGTTGGCGATCTTTGGTCGGGCTGGTGTGGGCAAGTCAGGTATGTTTGTCTTCTGCTTTTTTCTTCTGCTTGTCAACAGGCAACTTTTTCCTCCCTCTGTGCAGACAAACTCTTTGTACAAAAGGATATCTGTGACCTTATTCTTGTTAGGGCGGTCAGGATGAGGCCAGAAATTCTCTCTTACTTGGCTTTTTATGCTATTTTCTCCAGGTTCTCCAGAATAAAAATACTTTTATCACTTTTTAAGAAAAAGCCCAACAACAAACAAACTTCCCAACCCAAATCAAACCTATTCTCATGAAGTAAGTGGCAATATTCCTCTTTTCCAGTGGAACAGAGTTAGTACTATTCAGTTTGTCTCTCCAAAGCTTGTGCTAGATGAAAGCATTTATATTATGGTCCCTCTCCCCTAAGATCAGATCCTTTTTTAAATATCACATTACTTCTGTAATAGTTGTAATTCTGGTTGATTTCCACAGGAATTGTAGAGTCAACAACTCAAAGAATTTTTGTTCTCAGTGCTCTCCTGGTTTTACGTATTTACCAGGAAGCCAAGAAAATACGATGTGTAAAGTTTGGATTTGTAGAGATCTTTAGAGAAATAAATATAGTCTGGTGAGTTCATATGGTAGAAACACAAGGGGGAGGCATAAATGTTAAAAATCCATTTCTACAGACAGCCTTTCCTTCGATGAGATAAGGAGTGTAATATGAGAGTTGCAAGTTCCCTCAGGTATTTCGGTGGTGTTGCATTAACTTGACAGCTCCATGACCACTCTAACATGTCATTGCCCCACAGGGATGAGGAAATAAGGAGACTTAGTGTAATAATGCTCCTGTGCCAGTTCGGGAACTGTAAGATACTGTTTATTCTAGAAAAAATCTGCACAAGAGAAGCCAGGAGATAATGATGTACTGGTAAGAGCATTAGGCTAGACTCAGCTATCAACCATCTCCAGTTCCCCAAAGTGACTTTGTGTTAGACATGCCAAGGTTCTGTCCCATAAATGTATTATTGTTTCACTAACTTCAGAATGGGTTGTTTATAAAAGCACGTTTACCCAGGAGGTATTTTACCAGAACACTGTCAGTGAAGTAGCTCTGTCGGCCTTCACGAAAAAAAGGCGTATGTGAGGCAGAACTTCTTGGAGACTATATTGCTTATTCAAAGACAAGGCAGATTAAATTCTACCTTTTTGAATAGAATACCTGAGGGAATTCTGATAATATACTGGGATAAATTTAAACTGTTCCTTCTTCCCTGCTGCGTTCACCCCACCCCTCTTTTGTATTTGCATTTCACTGTCATGTCTAAGTTTTGCAAATAACTTCAGTGGTTCTCCTTTTGGTTTATCTTACATTTAGTTGATGGTTTCTTTGGTTGTCCAGTCTTTTGACTGGATTGAAAATAATGCAAAAGAATGTTGAAGTATTTGCAGGAAACTTGAAACACTAAAAAAGAGTCCACTCACCCTGGTATTCCTAATAGTTTGAGAGCTTGTCTTTAAAAAATACAAAACTACCTGTTAAGTGCTCAGTTAAAGTGCTACACCAGCATAGGATCAACAAGAGCCTTTTTTTTTTACCTGTTGCATCCTTTTTGTAGATTTCAATATACTAGGATTTTGTGGTAAAAATGTTTTCCTGTGGTGCTGGAGCCGGGTGGGAGATAAAAGAAATGAAAAGCCAATAAAAACATCCTAGTCCTTCAGAATCCTCCTCCTCTTTCCTTTTTTTTCCACTTGACATGCAAGGAAATATTACATAAAATATGACTAAGGTCCCCTCTTTTGACTGTGACCACGTATGTGAATCTGTGTGGAAATGAAGGCGCAAATAAGTGGGCAAGAACAAGAAGGTGAATTTAAGGGGGTGGAGCACTCTCAGCTACCTCGACAGAGCGCCAGCTGTGCCTCCCAGATTCTCCAGCTTGCTTATGAAAACCCCTCTTGTACATTCCCATAAAAGGATCCAGTTTCAACAGCTCGGGCAACTCCAGAGAAATAAGTGTGTCTGTGTCTGTGTATCTGTGTGTGTGTGTGAGGGGGGTGGTGTCTGAAAATACCTATTTGCCTGTAGCCAACAGTAACAATAGTGGGAGCTATGAAAGTGCTAAAAACAGAACTGGACACAAAGTAATCTCCAGATAGCTGAGTCTGATTGATAATACCCTGCTAGATTAGTGTTGATACTGTCTTTTTTTTTTTTTTTTTTTTTTGGGTGTAACTGTGTAGTTCCCTATCCCTGTGACCAGTTTGTAATGCATTGTTGAGGCAGGATCCTGTGACCATAGTTTACTGGAATAGACTTGGCCAGACAGCTGAAAGATAAGCCAGACTGTAGAAGCAAGAACGTGAGGCAGAATGCTGGAGCACACCAGATATGTGCAATGAAAAGGAGATGTTGGGTGATAAATAAGGCCACCATAATTGCCAGAAAATCATGCCAAAATATGGTCACTGGCTTGCTTTCTTGGCTTATCTTCATTTGCTGAGGAAGAGCCAGGAATTAGGTTCTTAATCTCTAAGTGGCTTCACCACCTGACAGCATCTGTGGAGTTACAGACACAGCTCTTCTTCCACTTCCTGACTGAGACTTTGGATGAGTGAGTCAAAGCATCTATGAAGAAAGAAGTGTTGTGCTTCAGGACATGGGGACAATTAAAGCTGTCCCTCGTATGCTATGAAAGCCATTAGACCTGTTACCATTACTGAGAGCTGAGGAACACCCTAATCTCATCAATGCTAGACATCTGTTTAAAGGGGTGCAAGATTCCTTGTTCTGCAAAGTAGTCCCTTCCAAGACTCTTTGTGAACACTGTTCACAAATCTGAGTAGTAACAGTAGGATCTCAAAAGAGTTAAAGCCAGGGAAGATAAAACTTTTCTCCACTTTCTTGCTGCTTTTACGTTTCCACGGTTCAAAGGTTTAAAAAACAAACAGGAGGCAATGGCAAGTGTGAGTGTCAGCTTTTCACTGTTCTCTTTCCTTGCCTTGTCTCCTCCTGCCTGCTGGGGAAGGCCAGGAGAATGACTAATCAATTACCTGTCCTGTTTTGGTTTTTTACTTAATGTAGACCTAAACCTTTCAAATAGAAAAAGAGGAGCAAACCAGCTCAGAAAGGGGTACACAAAAGTGGCCCTATCTAGTTACACTGAGTAATGGGCAAACTCATCAGGTATGAGCATCCCAACCTGTGGACTAGATGCTCTTCCGTTTATCCAATTCTTAATGTATTAAAGTTGCATAAACATTGCTTTAAACTAGCTGAGAAAAAGCAGATGAGGAGCTCTGCCTGAGCCAAGGAGGATTTTGCAGCTGCTTCACTTGGGAAGAGGAGGAAATGCTCTGTGGGTGGGAAGGTAGATTGCTAAGCCCTGCTATAGATAACAGGGCTGTACCTCCTAATTTGGACTAGACTCAAGTGGCACTGAGGAGGAGAGAGCTTTTAAAGTCTTTTTCTTTATGCCCAAGAGGAGCTTGGATGGAGCGGAGAATTAAAGTTGAAGTTAATTACTTAAACGTTGCTGTTTAAATTGTTCTTCTGCTGGATCCTACAGCTTCATTCCTATGGTAACAAAAATTAGAATTTCCTAAATAGCTCCTTGTAAAATTACAGTAGTAGCAATTAATAAAGACTCGAAGCCCTTGTTCTTCCGTGTTATTACAAGGTACAGTATGTGCCCAGAAAGCTAAAGAGGAGTGAAAATCTATGAACCAGGAGCAGAAAAATAGGGCATATACTGAATAACACTGCATGGCTGATGCTTTTCCGCCCCATAACTCAGTTGGCTATGAATGCTCAAAATACATCTGCTTAAGAGCCTTTATATTTTGGCCAAAAAAGAGACAACGTCCAGCTGCAGCATGAGCTAACCAACTTGCCTTTTTGCTGTGTGTGTGCCAGGCTGACTACTATGGTTTGCCCAGCTATAGGCAAATGCCATTTTCATGTGTCTGGACAGGCCATGCAGCTACACACGTGATGTGGGACGTGGAAGTTTGTGTGGGTTCTACTGGTGTTAAAGCAACAGGGAGGATCCTAAAGACCCCACAGGCTTCCCCCAGTAAACGTGTCAGGTATGCAAATCACTTGCTTATGTAATCAGATACATGAGGCACAGGGCTGTTGTCATCTTTCTATCCTGCAATACCTCAGATGCTTGCATTTGGGCAAAAGGGTGACCAGTAAAGGGGCTTTAGTAAGTAGGTATGGCAAAGAACCTGTCCCATCACAGAAATTAAGATCTCACCAACTCCAGTCATTTTATTGTCACAGTTGGGAAAGTTGTGAGCAAACATATATTTGTATCTGTTGGCTTATGCTGTTTTCCCTGACTAACCCAGGATGAAAGTTTTGCAAGTTCCTAAAGAACAAATTCAAGCAGGAGCCAAGCCAGAGAGGCCTTCAACAAATCTGTGGGGTTTTTTTGTTATTTGGTGATATGTTTGAGACATACTATCAGGGATCACTTCCTAATTGCAAGGTCTGGGCATGTGTGGAACAGAACTGAATTCAGCGTCACCCCACCTCCATTCAAAAAATCATGTGGGTTACTGGGAAAGAAGCCCAAAGCGATTTTTCTACTTCACAAAATCCCTGCTCATATATTTCCCCCAACTAATTTCATTTCAGGGACTTTTGGGGAGGAAACATGAGTTATTAAGGAGCGATTAGTTATCAAACTCACAACTCTGCTAGTAAGGCAAGGAAAGCTACCACATGAGCTTCAAAGTCCATGCTATAACAGTTGATGTATCAAGGGAGAATTACTGTAATAAGGTGTCTCTGAAATCCAGAAATGTGGCTGGAAAGAGACTCTGAATTTTCTGTTGTGGGTTTTGGCTTTTTTCTTGTGCTAGTGGAATAGATCAGTAGCCTTTTTTTTCTTTGTTCTTAAGAATGGCAGTGACAACCAGATGCTTAAGTGATTATTCAGTGATCAGGTTTAACACCCACTGTATTAATTGTCCTGTATTATTTTGCTAGTAAAGTACTCATTAAACACTCCCACTTTTTGCACCCTCTGGTTTTACACT